GCGACCGCGCACGCTGCTCATGAGGAAGAACCCCTCTGTGGTTCGAAACTAGTAGAGCTTTTTTCAGTATATTCACGTGAGTAGCACGCGATTTTTAGTTATGCTTCTTCTTCTTAGTTCATTCCCTCACTGCTGAGGATCGTGACTCCATCTGTATTGTTCATTAGAAGTCGTCACTTATCACGTTCAAAGGGTATCTTCAGCTCTTTGCATATTTGGTCAGACCAACATATGGGACTCCGGCTTCTCCGGTCTTTTTCCTTCTATTTTACCAGTCACTATGAGGCGTTTCAAATTACTAGCATCTCTGAGAGCTATTTGTGGTTGGTATACATATTTGTTTAGCAGTTTATGTTATATAGTACGTATGTTTATATTAATGTAATAATATATTTATTCTATAGGTATTTATGTGTGTAGTATACATATTATTTAAGAATGAAGTTAACTACACTCTTTGTGTTTTTAAAGTTCTGGCTTCGCATCAACAGCTTCATTTTTCTGCTCTTCCCCACGGTTGACTGTCAGACAATATCTTAAGGAATTAAAAATAAATAATAAAATAAAAATTGTTTATTGTACAAAATTTCACAATATTACATTCACAGAAATGCGGCGATTACATGAACGAGTGTGAATTACGATCGATACTGACACTGCCCTCCAAACTAAGCTATAAGCTTGTATTTTGGAAAACAGTGATTCAAGCGTGGAGTATGTCACAAAGTCGCATTATATGTCACTCTATAATGAAGTGAATGTCATGAAAGTGAATGAATGAAATGGGAGGAGCTGTAATCCAAAACAAAATAATAAAATATAAAGGGAATGTTAAAAGGACTACTTAGGTTAATTTTCCGGAATTGTGTGTGTGTGTGTGTGTGTGTGTGTGTGTGTGTATGTGTGTGTCGGTTATGATATATTCGTAAGTAAACCTTCAGTTTCATTGTAATCAATTTGCTGAAGCCAATCACTGATTTTTCTTGTGACTTCTTTTCGGCTGAGTCGTACGATGTTCAGGTTTTTATTAATTTTGTTGTAGAGCTTGCAACTGAGACTATTGAACTGTCCTCTGGCAAAAGTAGTATTGGTGGGGATTTGCGGGCATACTGGCATCTTACTGCGTCTGTTTGGATTCGGTAGTGGAACATTCCTATGCCTTCTCAAAGTAGATTTGAGCACAAAGAGCTGTCTGACTGTTAATACCTTACATTCTAAGTACAATTTTGCGGTGGGATATCTGTATGGTTTTTTGGTCATCACTTTCAGTACAGCTCTTTGTGCTCTCTCAAGCATAAGGAAAAGCGTTTTGGTTGCCCCTCCCCAAACCGGTATGCAGTATTGGATGATGGACTGACACAGAGCCAAATAGACGAATTTTAATTTATCTGTTGGGGCAGAATTTCTTAGATGTTTAAATATGTGTATTAGCCTTCTCACTCTGGAGGTTACAGTATCTATCTGTTTATCCCATCTCAGTCGATCATCCAAGGTAACACCCAAGTATTTGACGCTTTCTGCCCTAGCTATTACCTCGCAGGCACAGTCCATCTGTCGAGAGTGACAAATGTGAGCTTTGATGGAGAAGTCACGTGGTGGGGCTGTATTTTTACGAATGGAGAAAGCCATAAAATGAGTTTTGTTAACATTTAATGTTAACAGGTTAACAGAGAGCCACTCCATCACTTTAGATAAGGAGTATTCGGCCGTTTCCTTAACCGTGTTCCAGTTTGGACCCCAAACAAATATGGCGGTGTCATCTGCGTAGGTGTATATGTTAGTATTTGGAAGAGTAATTTGGCAGAGGTCATTGATATAGATCTGAAAAAGGGTAGGGCCTAGAATACTCCCTTGTGGCACGCCATAAGTGACCTCAGCCTCATCACTTTCATGACTTCCTATTTTCACACGTTGTTTCCTATTTGTTAGGTAGCTTTCAAAAATGTTATGGGTGATACCTCGTACGCCCAGTTTATTTAATTTAGCAAGGAGAATCGGGACAGTTTAGTCAATTAAGTCTGCCATTTGCTGTAATTTTGTGTGAAGAAATAAATAAATATGGCCAAAGTACCGCATTATTCGTTGCAAACAGACTGTAGACAACCGCTGAGTTTTGCTCTTAATGTTAATTAGTAACAATCATTAGCTTGTGGTCTTTGTTAAAACGTCGCTCTATTCAACCACTACGATCATTTGCAAGTCCCAACCACTATACTTTTTTAATTAGAAAGCAATTGAATTATTCAACTACATAAAATTATTCAGGTTCTGTAACTTAAAAGATACTGAACTACGCAAATACTATTCTGATCTAAGTTCAAAAAGATAAAAGAAAGCTTCAAATTCATTGCTTGAATTATTCAAAAAGACACGAAATCCTTTTAATTTAATTGAATACTTTAATATGCTCGGATAATTTACTGAATGTTCAAAAAGATTTTTTATTCTTAGCTGGCTGATAATTATTAGTAGTCAGATTATTATCAGTAGAAATCACAAGTAATTAACTAATACATTAATTGTCCACAGAATCGAGAAAGATATTGTAATCATGAAAGTGTGTGTGTCTGTTTATTTGTTTGTTCGTTCGTCCTTCACGGCAAAACGGAGCGACGTATTGACGTGATTATTCATGTTGAGATTGTTGAATGATTGTAGAGGAACATAGGCTATAAATTATCACGCTATGATCACTAGGAGCCGTGCAGCGGGGGTGGATAGTTTAAAAATAAAAACAAAATCTTATTGCTACCCAAAATTATCAGTTAACCATCAAAGCCGCTACTTATAAGTTAAACATTTCTCAATACCCCTCACGACTAAATCAAAATTACAACCAAGTCAAAAAGTTGAACAAAAACACAAAAGCCACATCCATAGCATTATTATGATATTCTTATTATTCCTGAATAATAATTTCACGTTCATAAATTCTCAGTCTATTAAAATTTTCCATAATATTTCATTGACGAACTTTGAGTACTTATAACTTTGCTCTCAAAGATTTTTGAACAAGTTACAAACTTTTCTTAGTACCTACCGACTGTCATGTTCTCAACGTTTTCACAGGCCTTTGTTAAGGGAAAACAATGTATTATTATTATATTATTTTGTAATAATTATTTTAGGTAGGGCTTTATTAAATTTTGAGCATGGTTTGTTATTAAAATAACTATCGGGAGACATGCTGAATAACAAAATATTACGAGTTACTCACGTAAATATACTGAGAAAAGTTCTACTAGTTTCGAGTCACAGAGGGACATTTAATGACGGTACTCAAAGGGTTAAGAGTCCGCTGTTGGAGAGCCTCCCCTACATAGTATCCGCTTGTCCTAATCCCCACGCTTAAAAAAAGGGGGATGGAGATCATAGCAGTATAAAAAGTTCACTTTTATACTGTCCAGCCTTTGTATGCCAAATATACAGTACCTTAGTCAGCTCTTACTTTGGGGATTTGGAGTGGTGATGGTGACACAAACAAAATGATTAGTTGCCCTTCAATCATCCCAAAAGCGACACTAGCGCCATTGGTAGACCATAAATGGTGACACTAAGATTCATGTCGTTTTCCTTATGGCACGGAAGCCATTGGAATGCGAAATGTTCCCGCAATATTTTATCACTGGGACCCCATGCAGCAATAGATTTCAATTCTGTAACAGTGTGCAATTTGTTTTTATTAAATGGTAACATTAGATTTACCTTTTTGGAAAGTTCATTTTGTTTGGTTGTGGTTTTTAGGTAAGTTATTATTGTGTGATTCGAGTTTGATTGATAAACAGTTGGATTAGGAGTTACTGTTGCTTATTCTGAACAGAATACTCGGTCTAACTTTACACGGATGTCAATATTAAGATATTTTTGGTATTTTTATGAGGAAAATTGATAGCTATCGAGTGTTATTTATTCTAAGTTCATTATATCATATCAGCCATAGGACGTCTACTTCTGAACATTCTATATGTGTGAGAGCCATGCTTCGACACGAATGGGCCGGCTCGACCGGAGTGATACCACGGCCTCTCAGACAACCGACGTGAAACAACGCTTGCGTTGTGTTTCGTCGTGTGAGTGAGGTTACCGGAGCCCCAATTACACCCCTCCCTAGTCTCCCGAATCCCCGAATCCTCCACAATCCTCACATTCCCAATTCCCAAAAGGCCGGTAAAGCACTTGTAAGGCCTTGGTGTTTTGGGTGTCCATGGGCGGCGCTGATTGCTTACCATCAGGTGATCCATCTGCTCGTTTATCGGATTATGCTATAAACAAAGCTTAGGCCTTCCAGGCAGGTCGATTGGAAGCGACCTGCATCCATTAATAATAACTATGACATATGATGAGAGGATCTTAAATCTACATTTAAATTACCATAACTAGATTTCACTATACTAAAATAATGTTTCCAGACTTCATCACGGTGTAGCATGAATAGCTTGAATATTCATCAAGAACAAGCTAGAACGTTAGCCAAAGTTAGATACCTTTGTTGTTCTAACACCATGTATAACGGTTAAGGTAACATGCTGTAGGTGAATATTATAAACTGCAAATTAGGGTAAATTATGATTGCTGTTGTAATACTTACATTATATTTGTTGAAATGGGTGAGTGAATGAAAAATATTTCACTATCATCTTATTAATATTACATGCGAAAGTTTGTGTTTGTCTGTACCTATGTTTGTTACTCAATAGTGTCCAAACGGTTGAAGATTGTTATTATTATAAGGGACTTCTTATTTTACGGGAACGCGGGCAAAGCCGCGGGTAGTAGGTAGGTAGTTACAAATAAAAGCAAAAAATATAAATAATAGCTCCTATTTATAAATTAATCGTTGGATGAAGATGAAGAAAAATTGATAAATATGTTCGGAGAAGGGAAAAAACTAATATATATATATATATATATATTTTAGATAAGTTAGTATATATATATATATATATATATATCTAAAATATGTTGCAAAAATTTAACTTATCCATTTTTTTTTGTTTCAGAAAACTTCATTCAGCAAAACTCCGGAGGCGTATCTCTAGGACTGTTGACAAAGGTAAGCATTTGAATTATAAGAGATCCAACAAACACTGTCTTATTTATTATTGTACGGCTTGGCTTATTCACGCAGGTACATAACTATCCATCGAGGTCGATCAAAAAGTTTCAAGCCGTAGCAATCAACTGGCGGCTGTACAATAGTTATCAATAGTCACAATAAGTGTTTTTATAATTACTGTCGTTCGACATACAAAATTAAATAGAAATCGCAGGTTACTCACGTGAATACATGTTATTCAACTTTTTAACGGCAATTATAAGTTAAAAAAGATGGTGAGAGATTTATAATTACTGAACAAAATGTTATAGTTACCAGTCAGTTTATCACAGATGTCACTATCGACGATACTGCATGAAAATTGACCGTCGTCTTTGTATAAGTAATTAAAAAAACTAGTCTAAAGTCAAAATGAATGCTTAAAACTGACGAGATTTTCCGAATTTGAAATAAAAAAAAATTTAAACATACTTTTTTTTCTTAAGAATACTTTCCATTCTTATTCAAATAAAATTTATACCTTTTTTTCGTTAAAAATACGTTGGCAATCCTAGTCACAACAACGTACACACAATTTAAATAATCCAATTGTCTCACAAAAGTCATAATGCAAAGCAGTATAAGCAGAGTCTTATTTCAAAATCTCAATATTAACAAGATTAAATAGATATGTCTGATACATTACCTATCAATGTTCTAATGAAGCCTTTTGATATTGTATGCGATCTCAATTCAATGGCTGCCTAATTAAGCAGCATATGACTGAGTACCTATTAACCAGTGAGTGATACTTCAGACTAATATAAACTTTGATATTAGTGGGGTAAAGTTGATAATACAAGTGTATCTTGTTGATATGAGGAAGATAGATTGGTATTTGGTAGTGGTAGTAAGGTGAGGCTATAAGGCCAAAGTAAATGCAACCAAAGAGTTGTCAACAATCATGGTATGAAAAAGTAGAAACTCTATTTTAAAAAGATATTTTAACACGACAAGCAAGACAATCTCCACCACGGATAGGGCCTGATGCCAATACGTACCACGGTAAAATGTATTTTTTTAAGGGGGAAAAATCATCGAATTACTTCTCCCTGGTTGAGGCGGGAGGGAGTGTCAGACTCTTACTGATTAAAAACCACCCCGTTCTTATTCATGCAGTTCGAGCCGGAGCCCCGGTGACCCGTTAGGTTCTCCGCAACTGCGTATCGGCATCAGCCCTATTGGGCCCCATTTGTGGTGGTCTAATGGCTCTCTGAGGCGCGCGCGGAACGCGACGCGCCGTACGCTCGGGTCTAACGGTAAAAGGTTACCGGAGCTCGAAGTTCAGGAGTAGGAACGAGGTGGTTACTAGTCAGTAAGAGTCGGACACTCCCTCCCGCCTCACTCAGGCGGGAGCAGTCATTCGATGATTCTTTCTCCCTTAACTCGTCGAGTACCGTCATTATAGACACAATTATAGAACAATAGGTTGCGGTCACCGGTGACCGCTTGGTGTTTGACAGTTTAAAAAAAGCAAGACAGTCTAATAAATAATTAAGTATAGTTTGAATTATTTGAAAATCTACCCTGAGGTTAATTGTTCAGTTAAGTACAAGCGCCAATAATATACATAAGATATACTTTTAATAAGTATATTTTATTCAATGCATATTTAATTAAGTATGGATTAGAATCTAATGAATGCGTTTTATGAAGCTTTATTTTTAAGACTAGCTTTAACCCGCGGCTTCGCTTGCGTCACAAAAGGATAAAAAGTAGCCTATGTGACATATACCAATACATACAGCGCCATCTATACCAATACTTTTGTTTTCCCTCGGGAATATCAAATTTTTCCGGGATAAAAAGTACCCTATTATTTAATCCGGACTTCTAACTTTAGGTCTGCAAAAATTCAAAGCAATCGGTTTAGTAGTTACCTACGGCGTGAAAGCGGAACAAACAAACAAACTCACTTTCCGATTTATAATATTAGTCAGGATATAGGTAATAATAAACTTTACAGTTTTTAAAATAAGCTTCAAATTATTTTAATATGATTTCAATTTACAGGTACAGAATACGAAACTCGATATTTAGTATCGCGTGAGTTTAAGTAATGGTTCCAATTAGCAGTAGACTGTATAATGTCGCATATCGATTTAGAATTAAATTAAAAATAATAATAATAATATGAAGTTCCTTAGGCGAAGTATCGGTGTTCGTATGTATTAATTTTTTAATATTATTCCAAGTCACTGTCACAGTCGAGTCAGGAACTTCACACAGTATAAAAATAATTTACCTAAAAGTAATTGTACAGGGGGCAGCAGGAATCTACTCTATTCTATTCAATCTATTTATTAAATTTTCAATTCTATCGTTTGGGTATAAAGTCGAAAATCTAATGACAAAAATTGACACGTTAGAGTAGGTTGATATGCCGCCCAATCTACATATCTACCTCACTCCACCCTAAGAAAATAAACAGTGATAAAGTCTCTAACACATTACTTACACATTTTATTTATATACGGCCAAAAACATATTTAATATTCGTACATAACCTTCTTACCAAGAAACGTCAAGCGTCCGCCATATTTAATCTGTGACGTCACATGTCACACGTCAAAACGTCATTGTTCGATGTTATCAAAAATTCTCATAACCCTTGATTTATGACTCCTGACTACCTCTCGAACCCTTTTACAAGGGATGCTAAAGGCCCTACTAGCAAATAATACCAACCCCTATACAAAATACATACTTACTTTCAAGCAATTAAAAAAAATTCGGAGAATTTTCTCGAATTTAAATTCTTTAGTGACGGGATGTTTTAGACACATTAAGACGAGAGGGTCAGTGAAATAGGGTTGAAAACATTTTCGTTGGATAGGGGTGCAAGTAAAATGACGGATAACAATTTTTTAAAATATTTTGGGGATGAAAATAGGAAGGGATATGTCCGTCACTTTACAAAAAGGCTAAATAATGAAGTATCGATCCTGCGTTAGTTCTCTTTTGTTTAAAATCGCATTTGCTTGTAGGCAAAGTCAACACAAAGAATTTAAACAAGGGGGAAGTCCCGTAACGCCGGACGGCGCCTAACGCCGCACACTTGGATTATCTCGACAACTGATAACAGAAGCGATTAATTTTTTACTAAAAATCTTAGTTGTCTGTCACTGGGAGACTTCCCACTACAAATTGAATCGCTCGCGTTATTGGTTATCGAGATAATAGTGTCCGGTGTTGGGTGCCGTCCGGCATTAAGTGACTTCCCCCTATACCTAATTACCTACTAGTTTTTACCCATGTGTTTAACCCATGTATATTGTACAATCTTTCTCCGTACTCCCAACTATTGTGTATTTAAAATTTCAAGAAGAATGCTTGATGTTATATCAAAACTTTCGTGAGACATACTCAATGTTCTGTTAGAGGCTCCAGTCGCCGCGTGTCGCGGGTTGTGAAATGCTTCTCATGAATGGCATGGCTTGAAACTAATCGAGTTGCTCGTTAAACAGATACGTGAGGACGCTGAAAATATAATAATTAATTAAGATTTAAGATTTTCTCCTGTATCGTGGGTGCATTTACAAACATACAAATGGCATCCAAACCCAAAACAACAATTTGTAGATCACAAAAGAGTTACTCCGTACGGGAATCGAACCCGCTACACTTTACGCGACAGCTGGTTGCCGAGCCGCCGCGCCAATCGTGATGTCAAAGATTGCTTGATTAGATAAAGCGTAGGTATAGAGGTAACATGCAAATAAACAAAAAAATTTACAAACTTACTACCACATTTACAATATTAGCTAGGATTCAAAGCATTATAACAAGTTAAGCTACCTACTATGACATTGTAGTATTCAGAAGCTGTGCTCTGCAATGAATGGACATATCTGCGCCCGTCAAATGAATCCGGTTCATACCGGTTTTTGTTGATAAGGGCATTCAGGACATATCTACCTTTGTATGTTTATTGACAAGTTTAGTACTATGTGCGTAGATAAATCAGTGTATGTATTATTATTATATGAATATTCATATCTTTTGTAGTATGGAAAGTGTTAGGTAAACATTATTTTTCTTTTTGTCGTAGTATTGCATTAAAACTTAATTTATTCTTATTATGTTATTAGTTAAATGGCCAGTTTTAGTAGATTTGGGTTAATAAATATAGAGTTTTGGCATATTTTGAATAAAACATAACATCATCACGCCTTTTATCCCCGGAGGGAGAGGTGCACATTATGCTACTGTACAATGTAACACCCACTGTTCACTATCTATGTTATGAGTCCCATGTAATAGGGGGTGAGCCTATTGGTATATACCGGGCACATTTCCAGACTCCGTGCTACTACTGAGATTTCTTTTAAAGCCCAGTAATACTTTGCCCGACCCGGGAATCGAACCCGAGACCCCTTGCCCGGCAGTCGCACTTGCGACCACTCGACAACGAGGCAGTCAAATTTTAAAAAGAATTATTGTCAAAGTTCTACTTCTTGTAACAAAATCTACCGATTGGTTAAGTAAGTGATCTCTAGTGCGACCACAGGGCAAACAGTATTAGTTGTAAGTCGAATATTTTTCGATAAACACTTATTCAAAAATAACCTGACTCTTTCACTCGTCAACAACAACACCATGTCCAATAATAAACGTTATATCAGTCTTGCAAGACAAAAGTTTTATGGCTATATTTTTTCCGCCATAACTCAGAGCATTGAGCTAAACAATTGATGTTCATTGCTTACCTTTTATGGGGCAGTTAAACTAATACGTGTACAATGTTGTTTTACGTCGGTTTGATGGCTGGCCGCTAGTTATTGCGTCTGTGCCATCAAATTGGAGCCAATTCAATTACCTTTTCGGCAATAAATTGAGTACAATGATAGCTCGTGTACTTTGGGAACGGTTGGAGAAACTGTGATTGTGTTGTTGGTAATTGTGTTGGGAAATTGGCGATGTGTGGGTTGGTTTTTAATGGTGCTAAGTGTAGGGAA